GATAAACACGTTTAGATTGAATGGTAATTTATAATTAGTCACAAGAACGTCGAATCTGAATCACTTGAAAAAAACACGGGGGTGCTTAACTTTTTTCCAGGTGTATATTTGTGGTAAAACTTCAACATGTTTTCGGCACAATCGTGGATAACATGAAAGTTGAAATCTTACAATTTAAACACATTTCTCCAAGCAAGGTATACTTTCACAATTAATTACTTCAACTACAAAGAAAGTTCTAAGCAATATATTCAACTTTTACTCTGTGTGTACCAAATTTAGGTATTGCATGCCATATGGCAAAAAGAACATTTCACTGATGTTATTAATTTTGAAATCTTTTATTATAGAATCAGATTCCTTCTGGTTGCTTCAGTTATTCTAAAAACATTCATTACATGTACATATATTTATCAAGACAATAACTGTTAGGCAACATATACATAAAAGGACATCAAATGTAAATAAATATTCTTATAAATGTTGACCTCTTCTTCACTATATTTAAGAATAGTGTTTTATTTGTTATCATCATCATTAATCTAGATGAACAGTTTCTAACCTGGGGTCCCTGGACCTGTGGGGGTTCATGAGCTATTTTCTTTAATTCAATAATACATGGAAGGACACAGAATGGGGTCCTTGGAGAAAAAATTAGTACTAACAGGGGTTCTTGGTGGTGAAAAGGTTGGGAACCACTGATCTAGATTCTTAATCAACAACACACCTACTTTAATTATAAGTATAACATTCTTTTAGAAGTATGTACAGTATATTAATTGATTCATTTAATACTACTGAAGTAGTATGCTTTGCAATTGAGTCCAAGTAGCAACAAAAATAAGTATTAGCTATAAAAATGTAATATGGATTAATATACTAAGTTTTATGACATAACACTCTTAAATATGATTTGTATTGTACAAAAGGAAATAGTTTAAAATCATTTGTGGGTATTAAAAATTTGCACAATGAAAACAGCAACAATGACTAAAGTATTCAATATGTCACTCACTACACCTAACATGTTTTTGAAAATTGCAAAGCTGCTCTAAAGTTTTCAAGAACTTGTCTATTACAGTTTTGTCTAGATTGGTATTTTAGCAAAGTTTTAAGTGCAAATTGACTCTTTTACTTATGAAACTGTAATAAAGTATTAACATAGACCCAATGTTTGTAGAGAAATATAATTTTACTTACCATTGTTGTAAAAATTATTGTGGCCTCTTTTCAGTGTTTTGTCATTCAGCATGGTTGATATAAAGTTGGAAATGACACAGGTATTGGATGTACTTTACAAGGAATTTTATAAGAAATTCCACCATTTTTTTTCACTGCAGTATGATTTTCTGTGGATCTATTGATACGGTTTAGCAGAGATTGCAAGTGAAAAATGTGAATGGTTTTTCAAATTAACTGTCTTCAAGATACTTCTTCAGCAAATCAATGTGCTTATTTGCAGTTGCTTGTATATTGTTAATTTTGGGTGTTAGTTGTATACAAATTCTTTTTCCTAGAAGGTTTTAACATCTTTAGTTCAGTCATTGATAAATGCTGTTTTGGCCTCAAATGCCAAAATATTAGACCTTGTTGTGACTAGACCTTCCACTTGTTTCATTGATGTATTTATTTAAATATTTTAATGAGTACTAAATCCAGTTTTCTTTACTATTTCGAGTTATTGTCAGTTTTCTTTTGGTGCCCATTAATTAAAAATTGTTTGGGCTTAATAAAACCAACAAAGAGACAAATGACTTTCAATATATGAGAATTTGATATTTCTGGTAGTTTTATTAGGGATGAAATTATCCCATTCATCTTTTGGTCCTCTTTTTTAGTTTTAAACCACTTAAACCAATTTCCAATACAAAACGTTACAAATGCCTCTAGCAGTAAACCTTTTATTCATGAGCAGAAACAACTTATTACTTTAAATAAGTAAACTGAATCAATAAAACCATCAACTCAAATTCATACATACAACATACATAAAAATTGTAAGAAATTCTGAATTCAGTATTGTCCAAAACCAAATTCCCTGAAAAAAAAAAACTTTCTGTGTGAGAATGTGTATTAGAAAAACTGGTAGATCATTTAGCAAAAGAACAAAAACTGTGCAATACACTATATATTTTCTAATTTGTTCTTTAATACATTTTAATTATTCTTTGAAAATATGTGCTACAAATATTAAGCAAAAAATTAAATGCTGAGACCACTTGATTGAATCTGGTTTCAAAATCTTCATGCAGAGCTGTAAAAAGGGTTGGCTGAGCAAAGCTGTCCCTAATTTTGAACTGAGAGACTACAGAGTGGCAACTATGTCAATTCTTTTTTTTTATATAAAATAGTAGTATTTAATTATCATTCTGATAATGTACCTACCACCTCAAAGTGTAGGGCATATTTTCTGACAAACCACGAACCATCAAATTCACAGTCTGATCATGCTAACCATTATGGACAATCAAATTGGTGTCTCAGTAGGTTGATAAGCAGACTAATTTACATGGAGACTATATTCATTAAGATCTTACAATAATACAAATGGAAAACCATTCTATGCTTGTACAAGGCATGTTCTAGTGCACTCTATCTGATAGTCTCTTTCTCTTATATTTTCACATCATTTTATGCAGGTCTGTAGGTTGTAATCAAGTCATGGTGGAACAAGGATAAATAAACCTACTTAGTCACCAGTGTGAAAAGTCTCAACTGTATGTGCAGTTAGGATTTACAAACAAATTCATGTGAATGTGTTTGACATACAGAAAATGTTAATACTATACCAGATACAGATAGTTCAAGAACTTCATCTTTTTGATTGTCTGAATTTTTGCTTGAAGTCAAGAATAAAGATAGCCCTATCAAAAATTTTAACACATTTCATGAAAACAGTTAGGCCATACAAACTTATTTGTATTGGAATATCATTAAGATGATTCAGGAATCTTAGGTAATCAGAATTCAGATTATAAGATGCTTTATGAACAGCAGCTACTTGAAGGTTATTCACACAGATAAAGTCTAGGATTGCACTCAAGTCCTCCTAAGATCCACTAGAGTTACACTAGTGGTGATAAAGGCTGCAGATTTAGAATTAAAAGCTTAGAATCATTTGTATTTTCATCTATTACTGCTTTGTGTCTTATCTAAGTGCAAGGTTATATGCTAAGAAATTAAAATTGTCACTTAGTTTCATTAGTTGTTTTTTTTTTGGAAGCAGTTAACAACAGAAAAGTAATACTTTGTTTTTAATCTTTTCACCAGTTTTTGTGTGTTTTGTTAGAAATGGCACAAACAATTACAGATCAAGTTTTAAATACTCCTAAAATGAGTAGTAAATTAAGCTTCAAAAATAAATATAATTTTAATGCTTTTTTTATTATTTAATGAAAAATTTGATAAACTGGTAAGCCAAACCTGAGAAATATTATTGTAGTTAATAAGAGGTAATAATTACAGGACTTTGAGAGAATTCCTGGTTCTTTTCTAAACATGGCTATTTATTTCAAAGACAGCATTCTCAAAATTAGGAACAACCTTAAGGACATTATCTTTCTGATTAATTGACCTTACACTTCAAGAGATGATCTCCATTCACAACATAATAATAATTTATGTCACTTAAGGTATTTCAAACAATATATTTTTAGTTCTCACCTATCGAGGTTATAAATCTCAAATGTAATTTAACTTTAATTTTGAAATTTCTTTAACATTTGAAGAAATTGTAGTTGATATTGACCTGTTCTGTAACTTAGCACTGGGAAATGGGGCAGGGACATAGGCTATGAAATATTCTGTGCTAGTCTATGAGGTATAATATTAGGGTTTATTGAAGCAGATAAGTCAGTCTTGAATGCTAGAGCAGCGGAGATTTTTCTATTTGATAAATATTATTAATAGTGCATTATGATTCTTAGAAATCACAGGTTCAAATTATGGTGTTTTGTTACACAAAGCACAAGAGCTAACTGTGCTACCCATTTCTAATCTTGAACTCAAAGGCTAAAGAGAAGGCAGCTAGTCAACATTACTCACTCAGCTGTTGAGTTGCTGTAATCAAATAGTTGGGTTTGATTGTCACTCTTATAATGCATCCATGGCTACTAAGTGTGGAATGAGATTGAGAGGGGTGGTGAAACAAAGAGACCAGTTTAGCACATTAACCACTAAACTACACCTGGCTCAAAATAACATGAGATATATTATTTGAAAGAAACAAATACAGTCCATATAATAATATCTTTTTATTAAAAGATTGGTTGTTTACATTTTGCAAAAGAAATATTCAACCTCGCCATCCAAACTTCTTTGGTTCTCTTTTCTTAATTTGTTCTTTCCTTTTTAGGAGATTATAACTGACATAATTACATTTTGCTTCTGTCAGAAAAGGAATGTAGAAGGATCGATATAGACGTGGTGAGCTGATAGTGTAACAGATAAAGATTTCACTTTACAAATAAATTATGTATCAAAAATACAACTTTCTCTTTTTAAATTTCAACAAATTTAATTTACAGATTAAATGTAAGTGTATCCAAAAGAGCAATGTAATTGCTTATTACAGTTAATGAAACACAGAAAATCTAAATGGACCTATACTGTGAATTGAAAACATTTGATAAATATTAAAATATATATTAAAGTAAGAATATTTGTAAAATGTTTATACTATAAAGAAACAAAATATCTAAAAAAGTTTATACAATAATAATGTGTATGTAAAAATTCCAATAACCCATGGATTTTCTCCTTAACTGACTTCCAGGGTAAATATTTTTTCCTTTTTTATATAAATTTTAGAGAAACACTATTTTTATATACACTTCTACACTGCCTTGAGTTAAAACTGATTTTAAGAAAATTCTTCTGTGTTCTACAGAAACGGACATATTTTACATCCAAAAAGCACTTGATGGTACTTGTGATGTTTTCAGTAAAATACTACAGAATACCATATAAACATTGATTAAAATACACATTAAATGAAACACCATTTCTCACAGCTTTAGACAGTAACAAAACTAAACTGTCATTATAAACACAACTATTAAATAAAACATTCACTTACCGTGATGAATCTAGAAAAGGAGTAGTAGATACAATCTCCCATACTTCATGTAGGTGAGAGTACCGTGGTTCTCTCTCTGTCTCTTCAGAAAAGTCAGAGTCTATGAGGTAGTCGCAGTGTTGAATATCAATCTGAACAAAAACAACCATTCAAATTACCCTTGAAAACTAGAGACATGTAAGCTGCCAGGAGAAGCTGCTTGTCAAAATCAATGTACGAGTGCAGTTACCTACTGTTTAGACACGAGTTGAGTGTAAAACTCTCAAGATCCATCATACCTGTATGAATCTCCTGAAGCACCAATCTATTACCAGAATTCATACATACTTGACGAGAATGATCTATAGTCACTATTCAAGTTTGTTTCTACATAGACGAGGATGATCTATAGTCACTATTCGAGTTTGTTTCTGCATAGAACACATACATACCAGTAATTTTGTGAAAATAAGTGAATGAATCACTATTAGTAAATTGTAACCAAGAGGTGTATACACGTTCATTATAAATACCTAAAAGGCGACACCTTAAATAAGGCACTTTGGATGCTACTATTCAGCCAAAAGGAGTAAACAAAAACTACATAGATTCCACATTCAATGTCAAGATCATGGGAAGCCTAGCAAAACAGTTTGTGCAGTGAGATAAAATTTTAATTCTAAATATGTATTTACAAAAAGAAAAGTGCAATAATTATAAACGTATGATATCTGACTATCTACAATCCAAACTACACTGCATGAAAATAAAAATGTAATGGAAAGAGAACAAAGCTTGCAAAGATAAAAATACATTTTTTATATTTTTATTTGACACATAGCTAGAGGCTAATAAACAGATAAAGCAGACAATTAAAAGATATCCAAGAGTTGAAACAACAACAAAACAAAAACTTGGAAACATTCATGATTCATAATGATGAACAGTGTTAATAAAAGGTGGGATATATTATTAAATATTTTGTTTCTTTTTAGATATCTGCACAAAGCTAATCAAAGCCTATCTGCATTAATTGTTCCTAATTTTGAACTGACAGACTAAAGGCAGCAAGTCAACAGCACTCCCCCCTTCTAGCTCTCGGGCTACTCTTTTCTAACAAATAGTGAGATTAGACTGTCACCAATATAACACACTATTAAATGTGATTTTTTGATTTGGTAAAAGGATGTGTTCATACATCCATTGTCTCACATGCTAACCACTAGGCCATACTTGGCCCTATTATTAAAGACACTTATTTTTCTCTCACTTTGAACAATAACTTCTAAGCATAGTCTTATGTTTATTACACTGTCTATAAATTACAGGTTTAAGTTATTTAACTTTCATGTCATTAACATTAAAGTTTGAATTTAATTAATTTTTAACTATTGACAAAATGGTTTATGATAATTAAGAAATTTAAAAATATTAAGAAGGAAATACTATCATGAAACCTGAAGTGAAGAACTTCACTAACTGCTATGCATAAAAATAGTTCTATCACTGAGTCTGTTGGATTCAATTTCATGTAAATTATCAAGAGTACATAATTTTGTAATTTATGTATATATAGCACTATGCAAAAGTTTCACTAATAGCATCCCACTACGTTAAACCTAATGCTTTTAAGTTCTCCATCTTAATGAGTACAAACTAAGTAATGAAGAAGTTATTTTATCAAAGTACTAGCAATATCAACTATAATCAATTAGAGCAACTGCAGACTTACTCTAGTTGTTAACTTCTATTGTCCTAAATAGACCTAAAAATAGTGGTTTTGATCATTCTTCTTCAGGAGAATAAAATAACTACATAACATGCTACAACACAACATTACACACTGACATCATTTACTGTCCCTTTATTCTCCTGAAGAAGAATAGTCAACTATTTGAGAGCATTCAAGTTTTGGGTCTTTTTTAGTATTCATTGCACCTTTTGTGCATGGTCCTGTGTGGTAAAATTAGTATTCATTGCACCTTTTGTGCATGGTCCTATGTGGTAACTATTTTATAAGATTTGGTTTGATCAGATACAGTTGAATATTTATGTTTGTTTTGAATTTTGTGCAAATCTACACAAGGGCTATCTGTGCTAATCATCCCTAATTTAACAGTGAAAGACTAGAGGGAAGGCAGCTAGTCATCACTACCCACGGCCAACTCATGAGCTACTCTTTTACCAACAAATAGTGGAATTGACCATCACATTATAACACCCCCACAGCTGAAAGGTTGAGCATGTTTGGTAGGACGGGGATTCAAACCCGTGACCCTCAGACTGCGAGTCAAACACCCTAACCACCTGCCCAAGCTGGGCCCAGTTCAATATAAAACTCATTTTTGATTGGAAATTTAAAAATACATTCTAAAAGCTGTAACACATTTAGTTTTGTTATAAGTGTATTTAAAAATAATGAAAAAAAATATCACAGCAATGTGAAATGTTCTGTGAGAAATTAAAAGTTACACAATAAACTTAAGAACTGGCACGATAACTCCTGTAAGAAATTATCTAGTTTCAAATTAGTGTACTTCATTCTGCTATCAGTGAACTCATGAAGCAGCTTCATTTAATTATTACATGTACTTACGTGTATTTAGATACAACATAAGTCTAGGCTAACCAGCATACAAGTTCGAAAGAGTTTTCATCTACAAGATACCAATTTGCCAATACTGCAGCTTACAAATGGAATTACATTTCTTAAAACATAATTTCTGATAAAATTATATTTTCAGTATTTTTACTAAGGTTCAGGCACACTAAGCCTATAAAAATAAATTGGACAATAAAGAGTGACATTCTAAAATTTAACATAATAAAGTATGTTATTTATATGAAAATAAAAACAATATAACAGTGCAAATGAACTGTAAACTTAACAATATATCATAAAGAAAATTTTCTCTTCAATAATTTCATGATGAGTAATAAACTTACATATCTTGTAGGTTCCTCCAAGTTTCTGTCATTCATATTTTCTGGAATGATTTTTGTGGCATTTTTTAACTGACTATATGGCTTAGGAAGTTGTCCTTTAAACTCTGATCTCACAAACCTTAACTCCCATCTGAAAATTCAAGAAAAATAAAGATTAGAAATTTCTACCATAAGAAATGCTTGTTTTCACTTAGAATTCCTTAATATTAGCACAGAAACCAAAGTACAGATCAGAAACTCTTATGAAATGTTATGCTTTTTGAGGACTATGAGATCTAGATTGAGAAGCATTAATATCTCATGGTGCAATATATATATGTAGAATGTTTTATGTCAGTCATGCTTTGACCTATTTTGGAATTAGACAATAATTAGTGATTCATAAGTCTGTTTGATATAATTTTAAATACTAAATACACACAGTATATGCTTGTGATTTTTAAAGCCATGCACGACAGAGTTTAGAAAAGTTTTTATCAGAAAATTTATTATTACAGACTCTACAACTCTACAAAAATTTTTTTTTTCACTTTAGAATACATTAAAAAATTACATCAACATATCAGTTAACTCTACTCTACTCATATTAACATACACATAAACGCAATGCAATATTTATAAGTAACATTCATTTATGAAAAGAGCATTACACAAAAGCAAGATGAATAAACTTTACAAGAATAAAAACTATCTTAACAGGAGGTATACACAATTATACTTAATTCTACTTACCCATCAGGTAAGAAAAAGCTTGAAGGAAAACGATACCACTCTTTTCCAACACACAAGACTGTTTGTATGTTTGATAACTGCACACTGAGGTCAGAGTCTGCTGCAAGTCGACTTAATTCCAAGTAGGTTTCCATAGGTGCATGGTATGCTGAAAAAAAAAGGAAATTTCATAATTAATCAAATTGTAAGAGTAAAGTGACTTTGTAACACTGAGTTTATTCTAATTAATTTGTAGCCCCATTTTTTAATAACTTTAGTTAAAAATAATTTGAAATTAAAAAATAAATCATAAAATACAAGGCCAGTTTGCATAATTCTGTGGTCAACTGCAAAAAAAGAAGTAAATGAAAACTGCAATTAGAGCTTTCTCTATTCTGTTTTCTAAAATTAGAAATGTTTATGTAAAGGCCAAAAAAGCATGTATGAACTTGAATATCTAGATGGTAAAAATTAACTTCTAAGTATAACAGATAGTTACTGTAGATGGTACAATTCGTTTCTAAGATAACCACAAAATGCAAAGTAGTGACTTATTCTTGGTGCTTGTGATTTTATCACTTATATTTTCAATAACAATTGAAAATACATACAAATCAATTTAGTGTTTTTTTCTACATTTTTTGAGCAGTGAACAACAGATCCAGTGTAAAAGGTTACCACACTTAGGAGAAAAGGGTAAGTACAGTTTCTGTTTCAGCTTTTCATGTTGATGGAATATAAAATGTTTGTCAAACTGTCTTGCATATTACTCATCCATGTCTATAAAGAATGGAGTTGCAACAATAACAACTGATGTACTTTTGGATACTCTAGTTCTGGTGAGTCCAGTAATTCGCAATGTTTTAATGCGAGTGAGCTGTCCTTAATGTGAAAATGCTGGAATGAATAAGTAGAAAAATTCGAGTATATTTGTTTCCATGCAGATTCAACTTTAAGTGCTTTTCAGTGGTGTGCTAAAGGAGTTAGCTGTAATTTACATTTTGCTTTTAGTATCACAACTGAAAACACTGTTTACTTTCAATAAATCATTCAAGAAATATACACACTGTCTGCATATGATCCTATTTTCAGATAATTGTGATGTATGGTAAAATGTGCAGGTTTACTGAAATTATATTTATAAAGCTTATGAATGATTTATATGTAAAAAATATCAAAATATTTAAGCTCTCATAATTTTAGTTATTACACTCAGGGTAAAGACAACTTAGGTTTGGTACTAAAGGAAGAAATGCCTGGCAATCTTTGGTTAGTATAACAAATGATAAGATGACTGGTTAGAGTCTCACTGGTCACTTGAATGATTTATATAAAACTATCTAAGTTTGTGAAAGATTGATAAGCACACTCTTCAAGTTTGTTTTCTGTCCAGACTAAACAGCTGGCAATTAATTAAAGATTTAGTTTTATTGTTTAGGAGAGAAAACCAAGTTTGCTTAAAGCCAATGGTTACTTGAAGTTGAAGGCAGATGGTAAGTTTTTTTGTCCTGTTAGCTGAGCTTCACTAGGCTGTACTGGAATTTTGCCTTGGATTGGATCAAGGAAAATACTGTAGTTTAGTGCATAAAGTTTATAAAAATGATACTGGAATGTTAAACTGACAGTTCTGTGTGTGTATGTAATTGTACTTGTTTTTGTTTTTTTGGTGAATGTTAACTAGTTATAACAGTGTGGTTATTAACACACTTGCTATGGGCTCAGCGGAATCAGTCAGGTTCATGACCCCAAACTGACATTAATAATTTCTATTCTATAACTTCTAATACATTTCGTGTATCTTCATGAAATTTTGTAAGCTTTCAGTGAGCACTAAGAGTCTTTTACAGACAAAAATTTAAAATTTCTTTATGAAGTATTTTCACTAAATACTTCTCCATGAATATATGGTGTCAAGATATTGACTTTGCTTCATCTGAAAATTCTCAAATGCATTTGAGTAATCTCTAAAACCTCCTCAATAAATTTCAGATTTTCTTTCCAGTAAAACTTTATATTTTATCTGTTATTTTCTCTATCCTAACTCTATACGAGGTTGGTCAAAAAAAAACAAATCTAAGCTACCCCTTTTTCTTTCTAGAATGACTTCAAAATGCAATATGAAACTAAATTTGTTTATCCTAAATAGCTTTAAACTCGTAACAATATTCATCTTTTTCTAGTTAACTTTTATTATTTGAACTGTGCCTAACTAATATTCCTGCCACATAAGTTGTAACTCACTTAGTGAACATGTAGCTCATGTTACTCTATCAAATTACAGTAATGCACTGGCTACTTGCGAGCATACCTCGTGAAAAATTATTCTTATTCTACCTAATTTAACCTAGTAAGTTTCTGATTTTTTACATTCTAGTTATTTTTATAAAAACAAATAAAGAATACACAGGAAAAAATAAACATAGCAATAAGCACAAAGCTACAATATGGGTTTTTTTTGTGCTCTGCCCACCACGGGCATCGAAACCCGGTTTCTAGTGTTGTAAGTCTACAGACATACTACTGTGCCACAGGGGGGCATAAATAATGTAGAACACATAATAATAGCATGTAACAAGCAGACAATGTCCTATAACTATCATCATTTTTCTAGCTTTCTAACTATGCAACAAGAACTGTTAAAAATTCAGCTAAGCTCATTGATATATTTCCTGTGGGAATAAAGTTTGAACTGTAAGTGAAATAGGTAAATCTCTGCACAGAAAACAAAGTAATGTAATATGTCATTTGACAGATTAAAATTTTGGCTTTATATTGGTTATAAATAATGTAGTATTAAATGTCAAAGAGAACTACTGGTAATTTGTAAAAAAGAGGATGTAACAGGTGGGCGTGGTAAGATATGTATGATTTTCTAGTTTATAGCTCTGTAACCAAATAAGATTGAAGGCTATAAAAATTATGCATTGCCTCAGAGATGACAACATTATAATGAGTCATTTACATTACATTTTGTACTCCTTGGATGGGTGGTAAGTAAATTAGAGAATATTAGAGAACAAATGTTACAATTATCATACTAGGGGAAATTGAGGATTTGTTTTTAACATTGCTTTATGAAATTAAGAAAATTTATGTAATATTAAAATATGGATAAATAGCCACATTTTAATACCAAATTTATTCGTATACCATGATAATAAAGTACTTTAATTAAGTTTTGAAAGTAACTCAGTAAAACCTTGTGACATGCATAGAAAATGATGTCTATATGGTACTAATTTTATATATATGTATAAATATATATATGAGTTTCTTGATGCTATGTGTTCAAGAAACTGTTACTAGCCAATTATTATTTTATATAACATAAAGATGTGTCAGCATTATTAATTACTGATAAAGTAACAATTTGGGGGTCTCCTGAGTTAAGTGATAATTAACTTGTGTAGATTTACTTAATCATATCTCTTGATGCTAAAGTGAACCAAACCAATATAATGGCCAGGATTTATTTCCTTAAGTACAAATACGGTTAACATGTGCATCAGTTTAAAAATGTGTACTTATATGAAATTAACTAAAACACATAAATTAATAGGCTACACTCATGGTTAATTCATTTGTAGAAAGCCATAACACTATTTAAGTATCACAGTTTGAAATACAAGACATTTAGTAACTGTTTCACAACTTGAATGCATATGTTCAAATTAGAATTTAGTGCACTCACCTCTGTAAAGGCCTACTGCTCTTGAAATAGAAAGTGAAGAACATAAAACAGCAACAACCACAGCAATCCAGTTTGTTGAATCAAGATAATGACGTATCTTCTGTATCACAAACACATGAAAGAACAATTTCTGGAGAAAGAAATAGTAGTTAAAAAACCATGAAAGTTACAAGATAAAAAATATGACTTCGTGAAAAATAGTTCAGATAAATTTTGCTCATGTGGAAAAGTCGACTTAGGTTATAATCTGGTATTTGCCAACAAAAAATCAATTTTTTAAAGACTGTAAGAGAAGTAGATTTAAATACAATTCAGTATTCAATCTTTTAGTCAGTGATAATGAAAGTAGAATGCCATTTTTTCACTTCTAAATGTAGCTTTGTTTCAAGGGTATTTTATGCAGTGTAGACAAAGTAGAGTTTTGGCTTTAATGGACTGCAAATACCTGTTTTTACAGTGTAATGGTGTTTCGACTTCTATGGTGAGGACTTGCTCAGGATTTTAACTATAGAGGGTCTCAGTATCAAAACCAAAATGTTACTTTAATCTAGAAACAGGCAAATGTAGTTCATTAACTCTATAAGAATGAAGCTAGTCAATTTGACCAGCCTTAGAACTGTGGAACTATACATACCATAACTATGAATTTATTACATTATCTTCATGAAATATAGCAAGCTTTCAGTTAACATTAAAGTCTACATAAAACATCAAAGTTTTTGATAAATTATTTTCATTAAAGATTTGTCTGTAAATTTCTAAAGTTTTACTAAGACAATCTGAGTGAAAGGTGATTTCATGCTAAGAATAAACATACTTACTTTCATCTTACAATTTTCATATTTCATTTTCATAACCTTTAGAGTCTCCTGAATGAATATCCAAAGTTCTTTTTGGTAAAACTCCATATTTTATCACATCATTTTCAACTGTTAACTTTTTCACATTGGTTTTATTTTAATTTTGAAGTTCTAATGATATACTTTACCCACTGGAGCAGTAATTCTCGTCTCAATATCAAAAAATCACAAAGGGAGATCATTAGCTGCTTCCTGTAGAGCTAACATAAACAGCACTTAATCAGTGTCATGTATCACACCATAGTTGAGCTAATAAAATTTCAGACCTTACATTTCAACAACATTTTGTTAGGCTAAGCTGATAAATTTATAATTTTTTTTACATTTCAGTTACTTTTGATAAAAAAATATATATTAAATGAAACATATGCATAATAAATGAGGATTTATAGTACTCACTTTATACTTGAGCAGCTTATACTGAAATAAAAGTTTTAAATGTTCTTCCTTAAATCTTGTTAAATCTCAAATATTTTGGTGTCCAAAAGAAAACATTTCATGAAGTTTTCAAAGAGGCATTTGAGAACACAAAATATATATCAGTGACTAGAATATAATGTCCCAAAACTACTATAATTTATTTGGCATTCTATGTAAGTTACAAATACATTAAGAAGGTTCTATTACTGTTTATATCACCAAAATCTGATTGACACAAACCAAGCAGTTCTTATCAACCAATGGCTTATAACAGCAAAACTGAACACAGAATTGTAAGATTTACCTATAGAAGAAACTGTTCTTTTTATTAGCTATAAATATATTGTGATAGATTTATTATTATATATTTATTTTAATACTGATGTTTGTTTACATTAATTTATATTTAGAAATGTACATAACTTATAGTGTTAAATATGTATTGTGAAACTCCTGCCTATTCTCTAAAGTTGTATAAGATTCTCGAGTGTAAGAACCAACAATATATGTGTACGTAAATGCTAATGTTAGCATCAGTATTGTTATGTAAAACTGAAATTTTGAGAAACTCTCCACACGCCTATAAATATAACCAGCACGATGTGCCTAAAAACAGTATCTATTATTAGTTTGCTATGGTTGGTATACTGTAAACCTTGGAAGCTATAATTGTGATTAATGCTTATTAATTGGAAAACTTCAGATATTTGACCAGGAACATTTATAAATTTTGAACATTATAAACCATTTAGCTTCAGTGGATTCACATCGGACATTATTAGTCTTACGAAGACATTATATAACTTCAGTGGTAAAAAACTCAAGCTCAAGCTGTAATCAGCGTGTGATCAGCAAGGCCCAAAGAGCTATCTAGCTCCCTATTAAGTGATTTGTACCTATGTCAACTCGAAATTAACTCGCTCATCGTGAACCCTCAGTAAGACATCAAGGAAATCCAGACTAGAAAGAAGACTTTATATTGCTTGTAAGTTTGTAGAACTTTTGTATACAAATCATTGTTTATAATAACTATTTCTAATAACTGTTATTGTAAACAGTTATTACTGTTTGTGTATTCAAATATATTTGTATTAAAAAAGAAAAGAAAACTGTGTGTATCAATCTTGTCGGCAAATATCATAAATTGGAGATATATTGGCATCTATTTAACTATTAAATTTAAATTATCACTTAGCCCGATTTCAGACCATTCAAAACTAATACGTAACAATATCCATCAGCCATATAAAGGTGATTATCAAATAATTTTCAATGTCAAAGAGAGAGAGGGGCAGTCCTTCTCTGATGGGTTTGACAATTAACAAGGTTCAAAATGTAGAAGTTATTAAACATTAGATAATACAAAAATTATAACTATAAACTGAATTTATTGTATTTTCATGCCAGGTTTACTCACATACATTGGTAATAAAGTTAATCAAATTTTTAATGTAAAAGCTCATAACATGTGCACTTTAATCCAATTGTATGAAAAGTGTTAGTAGATGTAGTTTTGTTTTTCATTTTCTGAAAAAGCATATATAAGACACTTTGAACTTTTTAAAGCAAAAAAATAGTTAAAAAATTATTTAAATTTGAACTCTAAATTAAAACAGTTGTTAAGTCTATAAATTATATAACAGAATCAAGTTAAGATGGTAAACAAAATATTTAAAAATTCTCAAGTTTATACTTCATAAGATATAACTGTCAGAATTGGAAATATATAATACTTTCTTTTTTGCCATTTCTCAAAATAAAAAGGCTTTTAGATATATTTCTTAATAGTATAAATATATCCTATCTTGTTGTTGGGCTTAGGATTCTTCTCCAGTAGGTGTCTGTGACTTGTTAGCGATAAATTCAATGATAAATAAATAGAACACACTTCACTTGTTTTCAGAATAATATATATATTTGGAACAAATTAAACGTATGTACAACAAATTCTTCAACACTATAGATATTATAGGCATATCATAAACACCATATATGTAGTTCTCTCCTTCTTGTCAAAAGTCCACTTAGGCCTTTTCAATTACTTTAGATTTTCAGTTGACAAGCCGAACTATTTTCTCTATTACTATCGCACTAGTATTGTGTGTGTGATTCATTTACAATTGTGCTGTGAGTTACCGTGATCATTTGGTCTTCTTTCTTCTGAAGATCCTATGTTCTTCTTTGTCAAAGTGCACTCAAGCTGATTCAATTACTTTAGAACCACGTTTTGATGGAATAAATTATTTTTCTTATCTGCATTTCTACTGTTAGTCTTACTCTAACATATTAAACGTTAGGGCTATCCCTTCTACGGTAGTTAATATCACGCCAAACCTTCCCTTTTGTAACTTTACATTCTCTGCTATTATCGGCCTGTGTCTGTCTGCCTATTATATTCTCGACGTCAACGTATTGCACTTGATGTTCAATAGTCTCAACATCAGTGAATTATTAACAAAACTTCCTACAATCGTCTGCTTTTAACTCTTATTATAACAAAAACTAAACAATAATACAATATTCACTCACAAAAATACATTAATCAATATCTAAACTAAATAGTCTTTTATATCATGACAATAATCTTCTATGATTTTAAATTAGTTGGGTGGTATTCCAGTGTAAATTGCTATCACTTCTTATGCTTTATTTACAAAGTATAAATTACCTGAATTCCATCAACTGTTACTGCTGCAGCCAAACAAAAAAGGGGATAGACAGGAAACAAGAACCGTTCTTCCTGTGACGTAAAACAATTTGTACACTGAGTTTTTTTTAATTAATTAACAACTTCTCCATTATGTCACTTCCTTGCATAAAACAAAACATTCGTTTTAAATATATGAACACTTTTCAGAATACTGATCAAATGTAATCATACTCATACATACAAATGCCTTAAGAAAGTAACTTAGAGGACTTAGATATGATTAACTACACTGTACCTACAAAATAACAAAATACTATTCATGGTCCATATGTGTATCTATAAAGTGAACATATTACCTTTCATATAATTGATAAGGCATGAAATGTTTCACAAGCAAGAAATCATTGCAAGTTTCAAACAACAAGTTTCTAAAAGCAGAGATACATTGTATTGGTTGTAAATGACTAAATCACATCTACTAATAACTGTCATCATGATAACAGCCTCTATGTAATAATAAACTTACAGCTATCAAAAGTTAGAATGGAGAGGCTAACAGATATATATATACTGTCCAAGCCTTTAGGTCCTATTTTTGGACTGCTCTTACTTCAATATATTATTACTAGCATGAACTATTTCTATTGAAGTCTACAAGGTAATTTCTGAGTTAGTCATTACAGTATGAACGTACTGTTTACCAGTTACTTGCATGTAGGAATGCTCACAATTAAATCGGATTTTGATTTCTCTCTCACAGAACATACCTATAAACATTAAACTAATTTTGTACAACATATAAAAAGGTCTAATTTTTTAATTGCTAGTGGTAACATTTTCACATACTTATCTGGTGATGTATCCGAAAATAAGTAGCTTCAATTTAAGATACTAAAGTATTATAGCAATGATTTAATGGTTTATATAATGATCTAAATTCAAATAAACGAAGTACATTTTTTTGCTGTACCATGTGATACAGAGTTATATGAAAAAGTTTGTATGTATATTGTCAGTGAACTTGTACAACAGCCTATAAATGAAATTTTATTTAAATGTCAGTAGATCATAAGAATTGATTTTGAAATGTCTATTACTCTTCACAAATTTAACTAAACACAGGACTTGTATATTAATGGTACTGACTGGCCAATATTTGGTATAGAAACAGTATATCTTAGTACCTCACAGAGATAATAATAATTATATTAATCAATGAAACTCTCAAAAAAATGTGCATAAACTAAACATAAAATATATGGTATTAAAATTTTTGTTTCTTACAACAGCTAAGATAATATTTAAATGACACCACCTGAGAAATAAAACACTTTTCTCTATTATCCTATCAAATATTTTCGGTAAGGATGTGGTGATCAGATATCAACCTTTGTCACGAATAGTAGCATATGTGATCATCCAAGTCTTATTATTAATTAGTAGCTTTTTTCTTTACAACTAGATATTGATTACTATCTAGTTTTATCCTATGTTTTGGCTGCTCATCTGTTTTCCTCTTCATGGAAGTCCAAAGTAGAACTATTTCTGTGTTGGTAGTGGGCAGGATTCGATTCTGGGTCTTCTTGATGGAAGTCTGGTGCATTATCCACTAACTGGGATCTCCTCAATTGAAATAGGAACCAATTAACTAGTTAAATGTTTCAAGAGAGGTATCTGGGTTTTGATAACTTTTATGCTAGGTAGGCCAAAGGTGTTATCAGTTAGGTGGATGTAAAGGACTACTTTTATTTTTCTCATATGTGATTCATATTCTATTATTTTAGCATTATTCCAGATTATCATATATGATTGCAGGTGTATCGGTATTACCAAGTCTTGTATCACAATTATGTTCCTGAATTTGAAACTTACTGGTCATTTTTTATATGTATTTGAATCCACATTCATAAGGGATGTTGTAAACGGTACTGTTACGTATCTGCTTGTTTGTTAATTTCCCGTAGAAATTCTTTCCAAGAAACTTCAACGATACAAGTCCTTTCTTAATTAAAACTAGTTTACTCTTTCTCGATATAATTTGCAATACACAGAATTTCCACAGTCACTTTAACTTAACTACTTTTATAAACACACGCTATACTTCACACACTTTACTTACGGTGCCTACTGTTTGCTTGACTCAATTATTTCTCTTTAATCTACCTCCAGCTTATATACTAAAAAAGAGGGCATCTAGCAAATGCTGGGACATTTGTGAGGTTGCCCGATAAGTCACGATCCTTCTAGAAACTCCAGCACGCATGCTCCCAGTGTTGCGTGACTTCCACTGTCATAACAGTACTTTTCCTTTCAATTGAGTCTTTAGGTAGTTTGGTGTGTACTAACATACAATACAACTTGTTAGAATTAATATCTAGTTATAAAAAAGTTACTAACTAATAACACAGGCCTGCAAATTTAAACTTCATAAAAATTGTTTTGATTTTAATAACGGATTGTCCATAATTCAGATACGCAGATTTCAAAAATAATATTCATTTTTTTTTCTATCACGTAAGGATTTTTTTACAAATCAGGAAGAAAAAACAACTCTTATTTAGATCAAATTATTATTTTGTTTACCACAATGAACATATTTTATTATTATGTTTGTTAACAGACAAACAAACAAACTGAAGAAAAGGGAAGAACATTGATGTCAAACGAATATGCATCCTCATTCATCCTGATTTTTGTATGAAATATATGTCTTTTAGTCTCAAACTATGTGTTGTGGTCTTTCTTTTACGGATTGTGTTATGAAGTTTTGTGAAAAATCTGTATGTGATGGAGAAACATGGATATCATTTTTGGATTCAGCTGCTAAAAGAATGCACGACTAA